GGGCTTCAACATTTTTTTTTAAAATCCATGTCAGCAGGTCCTTCAAAAACCCTTTAAAAACCCACATTTGAAGGTCCTTCAAAAATTTCTATGAATTTCCTTGTCTATGGGTACAAAAAGAGGCTTCTAAAAAATCCATGTCAGGAGGTCCTTCAAATTCTCCTTAAAAGTTCACGTCGGGGCTACTAAAAAGGCTTCAAAATTATTAAAATATCCAAATTTGGAAGTCCTTCTAAAACTCTTTGGAAATGCATTTCTGGGTGTACTATAAGAGGATTCAAAAGTCCTTCAAAAACCCACACCTGGAGGGCCTTGAAAAAAAAAATCTTAAAAAATCCACGCTTGGAGGTCCTTGAAAAAAATTCTTAAAAAAATCTACGCTTGGAGGTCCTTTAAAAAATTCTTCAAAAATCCATGCCTGGAGGCCCTTGAAAAATTCTTTAAAAATCCACGCCTGTAGGTGCGTCAAAAATACTTTAAGAAACCATGCAGGGAAGTCTTTTTAAACTTATTATAAAATCCAAGCCTCGAGGTCTTTAAAAAATCCACGCCTCGAGGTCCTTAAAAAATACACGACTGGAGGTTCTTGAAGAATCCACGACTGGAGGTCCTTAAAAAATTCACTACTGGAGGTCTTTAAAAAATCCACGCCTCGAGGTCCTTAAAAAATCCACGACTGGAGGTTCTTGAAAAATCCACGACTGGAGGTCCTTAAAAAATTCACGACTGGAGGTCCTTAAAAAATTCACGACTGGAAGTCCTTAAAAAATTCTTTAAAAATCCACGCCTGGAGGTCCTTGAAAAATTCTATGAAATTTCACGCCTGGAGGTCCTTGAAAAATTCTATGAAATTTCACGCCTGGAGGTCCTTAAAAAATCCACGCCTGGAGGTCCTTGAAAAAATATTCTTTAAAAAATCCACGCCTGGCGGTCCTTGAAAAAATATTCTTTAAAAAATCCACGCCTGGAGGTCCTTGAAAAAATATTCTTTAAAAAATCCACGCCTGGAGGTCCTTGAAAAAATATTCTTTAAAAAATCCACGCCTGGCGGTCCTTGAAAAAATATTCTTTAAAAAATCCACGCCTGGAGGTCCTTGAAAAAATATTCTTTAAAAAATCCACGCCTGGAGGTCCTTGAAAAAATATTCTTTAAAAAATCCACGCCTGGAAATGTTTCAAAATATTCTTTAAAAATCCACAGCTGCAGGTCCTTCAAAAATTCCTTAAAAATCCACAGCTGGAGGTCCTACAAAACATTTCTTAAAAATCCACACCTGGAGGCCTTTCAAAATAAAAAAAATTTCACGCCTTGAGGTCTTTCAAAAATTCTATAGAAAAAAGTGTCCTTAGTGGATAGAGGATTTTTTTCTATAGAAAAAAGTGTCCTCAGTTCCCTGAGGAATTTTTTTCTATAGACAAAAGTGTCCTCAGTGGCCAAAGGAATTTTTTTCTATAGAAAAAAGTGTCCTCAGTGGTCAGAAAAATTTTTTTCTATTGAAAAAAGTGTCCTCAGTGGCCTCAGGAATTTTGTTTCTATAGAAAAAAGTGTCGTCAGGGGCTGAGGGTACTAAAAAGAACTTCAAAAATTCCTTAAAACCCAAGTCTGTATGTCCTAAAGGAGACTTCAAAAATTCTCAAACATCCCCCACCGGACATGAATTCGTGATTTTTTAAAAATATATTTTTTTCAAGGATTTTTGCCATTTTACAACTTTTTACTAAAATTGTAGCTGATCCCCATATCTTTAAAAACTACATTCCATTTAATTTTCCATCATTATTTTCACCTCTTTCCCAAACCAAATCAACTTGCCACAATAGCAACATTTGTCATTTACTGCTCATTTCATTGCTACTGAGCTGTCAGTTAAGTTTATCAATCTCCTGACTGGCTGCCTAACCTAATTTTACTTTTGGGGCCAACCAAAAGAAAAAAAAATGGAAACGAAAATATTTTGTTGCAGGAACATTAATTTCTGTCAATTGATGGAATACAATTGGAACAATTGACAGCTAAATATCCCTCATCATTGGCCGGAGTGTACCCTCCTCTCTATACCCTATCCCACATGCCAGTAAACAAAATACTTGGCTCCCCTGGAAAAAATACTTCATCTCGTATGAAAAGCTACAAAAATATGCCCAACGATGTGTTAACAAAAATAATCACTCACTTTGTCAAACTCAAATGGAGGTCGTCGACAATGTTCCGGGTTGTTTTTCCCGAGCTTTTTTTTTCATTTACATGCTAGCTGGCTGCCTGGCATCTAAACGTAAACGTTTATTTATGACTTTGTTAAAAAGGAAGAGAGGATGTTATGAATGTGTGTGAGTGTGAGTGTATGCGTGTGTTGCTTTTACAATGTATTGGTTGTTATATTTTTATGGCAGAAGCATAGATAAAAACCCCAACAAAAACAACAAAGTTGTTTCGATATATTCAATAAATTCCTGTATTTTTTTGTCTTCCTCTGGCACCGATGATATTTGAGAAAAGCGAAGCCTGGGCTATCGAATGTTCTCCAGGGTCTTGTTGCCTGTTGTCTGGTGTTAACAACAAGTGATGCGTACATAAATGATTATAGCTGAGCAGTCAGAAGTTATGTGTGGAAGTAAATTTTTCTTCCTCTGCCGCAGTTAAAAGATAAAGAGCTACTTTGATTTAACAAAGGGAAAAGCAGGAAACTGGAGAAAATAATTTTCATCCAAAAATCAAAAAAATATATCAGGCCTCTAAGTATACTTTTTCCTGTAGAAAATACATCCTCAGGCCACTGAGGTAAGTTTTTTCTATCGAAAAAAAATTTTCAGGCGACTGAGGCAAATTTTTTTATAGAAAAAAATTCCTCCGTCCCCTGAGGTAAATTCTTTTTTATAGAAAAAAATTCCTCCGGCCACTGAGGCAAGTTATTTCTATAGAAAAAAAATCCTCAGGTCCCTGAGGCAAGTTTTTTCTATAGAAAAAAATTCCTCAGGTCCCTGAGGCAAGTTTTTTCTATAGAAAAAAATTCCTCAGGTCCCCGAGGCAAGTTTTTTCTATAGAAAAAAATTCCTCAGGTCCCTGAGGCAAGTTTTTTCTATAGAAAAAAATCCTCAGGTCCCTGAGGACACTTTTTTCTATAGAAAAAAATTCCTCAGGCCACTTGAGACAGGCCACTGAGGCAAGTTTTTTCTATAGAAAAAAATTCTTCAGGCCACTGAGGCAAATTTTTTCTATAGAAAAAAATTCCTCAGGCCACTGAGGCAAATTTTTTCTATAGAAAAAAATTCCTCAGGCCACTGAGGCAAGTTTTTTCTACAGAAAAAAATTCCTCAGGCCACTGAGGCAAGTTTTTTCTACAGAAAAAAATTCCTCAGGCCACTGAGGCAAGTTTTTTCTACAGAAAAAAATTCCTCAGGCCACTGAGGCAAGTTTTTTCTACAGAAAAAAATTCCTCAGGCCACTGAGGCAAGTTTTTTTCTATAGAAAAAAAAATTCCTCAGACCACTGAGGCAAGTTTTTTCTATAGAAAAAAATTCCTCAAGCCACTGAGGACACTTTTTTCTTTAGAAAAAATTCCTCAGGCCACTGAGTGTCCTTCTTTAGAAAAAAATTCCTCAGGCCACTGAGGCAAGTTTTTTCTATAGAAAAAAATTTCTCAGGTCCCTAAGGACAATTTTTTCTATAGAAAAGAATTTCTCAGGTCCCTGAGGACACTTTTTTCTCTAGAAAAAAATTCCACTGAGAAATGTTATTTTTTATAGAGAAAAATTCCTCAGGCCAATGAAACAATGAGACACCTTTCCAAAGTGAACTGTTGTTTTTCACCCCGTTTGGCCCATATAGCGTATAATTGTTGACATCACTCATACGCACTCACGTTTTTTGTTTTCTAAAGTTCGTTCGAATTAACTGAAATTTCTTTGAAATATTTTCCTTGAAGTCTCTTCCTTTGAAATCCCTTGGCAACTTAAATATGACCTTCATTTTTATTTTCGTCATAATCTTTTGAGGAGGGAAAATGTTTTTCTTTATTTGATATTATTGTTATGATTATAGACGTTTATATTGATTGGCTTGATGCATCATTGGAAATCCAGTGGAACGTGGGCCAAAATAATATGAAAATATATCAGCCTTACAAAATAGAAAAAAATCGAAAAAATTTGAAGGTAAACACCAATGGCACCACTCTCCTCCCCCAGCGGTGAGAACAATCAATACATCGAAATAAATAAATTACAAAATAACAGCTCAAATCAAGTGTGTTTTTGGGTGTGAGGGCCATAGACGTAAATATTTTCAAGGCAAAAAATAGAAAACTAAAATAAATAAAATCAAATAAATTATCGAAGAAACAAACCAAACAACAAATGGTCTGAGAATAATAACAAAATAAACACAGACGCATGGGGAATATGGGACAGCATCCCTTTCTCTTACCGCTGTCGGAAAAAACCAGGCTGTTGCCAACCTATGTCAAAACAAAAGGAAAAACAGAGCCCTTATTATTTATGCCCAAGGGCGGAAATCTAAGAATTAACTACCCGAAAAAGCCTTGGCATTTTCCACAAAAAAGTACAAAAACATAAATACAAATAAACATGAATCAAATTTAATGGCTTTTGTTTGGACAGTTACCTGTTCGAAAGTCCACACACAGGGAAATGGTGGTGGAGGAGGAGAAAGTGAAGACCACTTTAACATTTGGTCTTTAAAACGGATAAATGAGATTTTCGTTATTAAATATTCCCTTGAAATGAAAATAAACCTTTTCAAAGGCTGTGCGACTTAAATACTTATAGTAAATCAACTGGTGGTGGTGGTGTCTCATGCCACTCTTTGGCTTTCCTAATACACCTACTCATCACTGCTTATCTTGGGGTTTTGTTTCCAACAAGTCTTCCTGTCAGGCGCTGCCTTCGAAATGATAAAGTGCTAAGCAAATAGGCTTTAGCTGATTATAAATACGCCTGCCAATTGTTGGATTCGCAATGTCTTTGCAAAATAGACACGCACAATGAGCAAAGGATGTGAGGGAATAACGAGGTCAAAATCCAAAGGATACAAGTGGGGAAAATCACATTAATCTGTTTCCTTATAAGATATTGAAAAGAAATGTCGTGGATTTAAAGCCAACAATAAAGAACGAATTTAAAGGCAAAGAAAGATATAAACTTCGACAAATAAAAAAAATATGGTTATATGGCGTATAAGTAATGATAATAGTCATACGCCACCGGTTATTATTAATTAATTCTCTGGCATATTTCATGAGAAATTTTTTCTATAGAAAAAACTTGCCTCAGTGGCCTGAGGAATTTTTTTCTATAGAAAAAACTTGCCTCAGTGGCCTGAGGAATTTTTTTCTATAGAAAAAACTTGCCTCAGTGGCCTGAGGAATTTTTTTCTATAGAAAAAACTTGCCTCAGTGGCCTGAGGAATTTTTTTCTATAGAAAAAACTTGCCTCAGTGGCCTGAGGAATTTTTTTCTATAGAAAAAAGTGTCCTCATGGACCTGAGGAAATTTTTTCTATAGAAAAAACTTGCCTCAGTGAACTGAGGAATTTTTTTCTATAGAAAAAACTTGCCTCAGTGAACTGAGGAATTTTTTTCTATAGAAAAAACTTGCCTCAGTGACCTGAGGAATTTTTTTCTATAGAAAAAAGTGTCCTCAGTGACCTGAGGAATTTTTTTCTATAGAAAAAAGTGTCCTCAGTGACCTGAGGAATTTTTTTCTATAGAAAAAAGTGTCCTCAGTGACCTGAGGAATTTTTTTCTATAGAAAAAAGTGTCCTCAGTGACCTGAGGAATTTTTTTCTATAGAAAAAAGTGTCCTCAGTGACATGAGGAATTTTTTTCTATAGAAAAAAGTGTCCTCAGTGACCTGAGGAATTTTTTTCTATAGAAAAAAGTGTCCTCAGTGACCTGAGGAATTTTTTTCTATAGATAAAACTTGCCTCAGTGACCTGAGGAATTTTTTTCTATGGAAAAAACTTGCCTCAGTGGCCTGAGGAATTTTTTTCTATGGAAAAAACTTGCCTCAGTGGCCTGAGGAATTTTTTTCTATAGAAAAAATTGTCCTCAGGGACCTGAGGAATTTTTTTCTATAGAAAAAACTTGCCTCAGTGGCCTGAGGAAATTTTTCCTGAGGAATTTTTTTCTATAGAAAAAACTTGCCTCAGTGGCCTGAGGAATTTTTTTCTATAGAAAAAACTTGCCTCAGTGGCCTGAGGAATTTTTTTCTATAGAAAAAACTTGCCTCAGTGGCCTGAGGAATTTTTTTCTATAGAAAAAACTTGCCGCAGTGGCCTGGGGAATTTTTTCTATAGAAAAAACTTTCCTCGGGGACCTAAGGATTTTTTTGAAAATCGTCCGGGAATTGAATTTTTTTCAACCTTTGATTTCCAATTTATTTAAAATTTATTTTTTTTTTCTCTTTTTTTTCCAGGTATTTCCTATACCCAGCAACAGAATATCAAGCCACAGCTTCACCAGCAGCAGCAACAACAACCACACAGACCCACCGTTGCCAAAGAAATTGGAGAAGCCTCCAATTCCTTGACATCGACCTCAGTTCCGGCAGCCACAGCGCGACAATGGAGTCGAAAACATGCCACAGTGAACGAAGATTACAACCACCTGATGCAGAGCCACCACAACAACAACAAACACCTTCCATTTTTAGACAGCGACGAAGAGGAGCAGCTGCAGGAAGGCGAAGACATCCAGCGTCCCATCCTAGATGACAATAAATTGCAACAATTAAAACTCCATAAAGATTTCTATTATCAGCAGCAGGAAAAACAACAAAAACTATTGAGAGAGCAAGGACAGCAGCAAAGTGATATGGAGGATGAGGCGGAGGCGGAGGAGGAGGATGGCGAGGATGAAGATGAGGCGGAGGATGCCGAGACTGAAGATGAGGATAATTTCAGTGAGCATTTTGTAAATAATAAAGAAAAATGTGCCAAAAATTGTAAACCAAAGCAACAACAACAACAACTACAACAAAAGGAAACAGAAAATCATAAACAACAACAACAACTACAAAAACAGAAACAACACTCTACCAATAATTCTCTAACCAAAGCTAGGACTTCTCTAAAACCAGCTCATCATCACCACCAGCGAGGACTTTATCAGCTGGATGATCAAACCGCTGCCACTCACCCCTCCACCTCCTCCTCTTTCTCTTCTCCCTTGTCTTCATCTGTTCCCAACAACTCATTCTATTCTTCCTCTTCGTCGTCGTCGTCGTCTTCTTCGCCGTCTTTAACCAAAAAGATTTCCGCTTCTTCCACAGCCTCCTCGGAGGATCCCAGAAGCCTTCACAAACAACCATCCCAAATGCTTTTAAAGAATGAGCGCAACGTTTATTCGAATTCACAAAACAAAAACAAAAACAAACAAACTCCTGCCAAAACAAGCTTAAAAGCTTTAACTAACAAAGAGCACCAAAGAATCCATGTGGCCCATCGGCTGCAACACAAAGAAGTTAAGAAGACACACAATAGGGAAAGCCAACATAGAGCGAATATGCGGCAACAACAACATAGGGATAGTTATCAAACGAAAAGCTTTAAAGATGGCCAAAATGAGCAGCAAGAGGAGAAGGAGGAGGAGGAAGATGAAGTAAAAATCGAAAGAGAAAGCTCTAAACGTACTCGCAGAGAAACCGAGGAAGTTGAGAGCAAACAAAGTCTGGAGGAAGATCACCATGAAAGCACTTTGGCCCTGACAGAGGACTATACCTCCTTCTCCACGACCAGCATGGATTTAGAGGCAACCTCCCAGCCCTTCACACCACAACAATCTCAAAATTCATATCTCAACCAATCTCTGGTAAGTGGTCCCACCTCATCACTTTCCATTGTGGCGCCCACCCATTCGATCCTACCCTCAACGGTGGCCATGAAAACCAAACGCTCCCACACCAACGTCCGTGTCCCTGTGGAGGTATTGAACACTCCCAAGGAGGCCATGGTCATTATCGATGAAGTGGAGGAATATGAGGGTGCTGCCGAACGCCAACATGAATATGCCCAAATGGGTGTAATTGGCGGGCCGGAAGATTATCCTCACGATGAGGAGCCAAGAATGCTGCCGCTGAGACCCATCTTGCCTAATCCCTATGACGCGGAAGAAATGTCTGTCGTCTATGCTGAGCAACATTCGGAAATACGTCTGATGTGTGAGGTCGATTTGGACATTGCCTCCAGCATGTGGTACAAAAATGGCCAGGTAAGTGGGAGAGAATTTCCAAAATTTTTTATTCATTTCTATATTTACATATCTTGAAAAAGCAAGTGTGGCAGGTGGTTATTTTGAGGCGAAGTACGATTGTTTTTTAATAGAAAATTGTGGTTTTTCATAGAGAACATATTATCCTCTTTCGAAACAATTTTTGTCAGAATCTTGATTTCAAACAATTCTATCGAAAACCTTTCGAAATTTGACAAAAAAAAACTAAATTATTTCCATAAAAAATATTTTTTCCTTTCGAAAAAAGGAAGAAGATCATTATTCAAAAGAAAAAAAAATATGATTTGATTTTCTTAAAAAATATATACGTTTTTATTGAAAACATTAATAAAAAAATTATAAAAAAATATTTTTTCAAGAGAAAACAAATTGAGTACTTTCCCAGGATATTTTTATTGGAAAAAAAATCTACAGAAAAAATATTAATTTTTATTTTATAGAAATATTTAGTTTTTACTTTTTTATAGAAAAAATATAATTTTTCTATAGCAACAGTGACATCAATATGAAATTTAAGGATTTTAGCCTTATCCCTTCACCCAGTAACCAACATAATACCACTTGGTACTTTTCGTACAATTATAGTATACATTTCCAAAAACAGCGCATTCTGTCAACCACAGACATCAAGAGGGACATTTGTATCAATTTTCAGGATTTCAGCTCTATTATTTCACCCAATAAAAAATTTAGTACTATTTAGTACTTTTCGTACAAAATCAATTCCAGATACTAACAGAGGCATCAATATCAAATTTGAGAGATTTAGACGAATCTTTTCACCCAATACCAAATTAGGTACTATTTAGTACTTTTCATAAAAATAAAAGACACATTTTCAAAACACCGCCAATCGCAAACACAGATGCCATCAGTAACCTAAATATCAATTTTCAGAATTGTATCTCCATCCCTTCACTCAATACCAAAAATAGTACCATTCAGTACCTTTCGTACTAGTGTAGTACACTTTTCAATGCAACATCCATATCTTAACCACAGACAACAATAATTACATCTATATCAAATTTTCGGATATCATTTCTATTGCTTTACCCAATACCAAATTTAGTACTATTTAGTACTATTCGTATAATTATAGTACACATTTTAAAATCCATTTCCAGATTTCAGATACCAACAGAGGCATCGATTTCAAATTTTAGAGATTCCAGATCTATTCTTTCATCCTGTACCAAATTTAGTACCATATAGTACTTTTCGTACAATTACAGTACACATTTCCAAAAACCACCTCACCACATACAAAAAGGGTCACCTATATCAAATATCTGGATTTCAGCACTTTTCTTTAACCCGATACCAAATTTAGTACAATTTAGTACTTTTCGTACAAATATAGTACACATTTCCAAAGCCATCTCCATATGTAAAATTCAGATACCAATAGATACCAATATCAAATTTGAGGATTCCTGCCCAATCCCGTCACTTAATACCAAAATTGGTACCATTTAGTACTTTTCGTACAAATACGGGACACATTTCCGAATCCTTCTCTATATGTCCAGGCTACACATGAACATCGAATTTAATGCACAATTTTCGATTTGAAGCAGTATCTGTCCACCCAATACCAAATTGTACAATTTAGTACTTTTCGTACAATTATAGTAGACATTTCCAAAGCCACCTCCATATATAAAATCCAGATTCCAACAGAGACCTTGATATCAAATTTGAGGATTACTGCCCAATCCCGTCACTCAATACGAAATATAGTACCAATTTGTACTATTCGTACAAATACAGGATACATTTCCATAGCCACCGTTGAATCTCAAACACCGATATCATCAGTAATCCAAATATCAAATTTTAAAATTTTATCCTCATTTTAGGCTCAATATTAAATTTAAGGATTCCAACTCCATCCCGTCACCCTATACCAAATTTTGTGCCAATTAGTACTTTTAGTACAAATACAGGACACATTTCCGAATCCTCCTCCAAATGTGCAGGCTAGACATGAACAACGACTTTAATACAAATTTTTCGATTTTAAGCTCTATCTGTTCACCCAATACCAAACTGTACCAAATTTAGTACTTTTTGTACAATTATAGTAGACATTTCCAAAGCCACCTCCATATATAAAATCCAGATTCCAACAGAGACCTTGATATCAAATTTAAGGATTCCAGCCCTATCCCTTTACCCAATACCAAATTTAGTACTATTCGTACAAATACGGGACACATTTCTGAATTCTTCTCTACATGTCCAGGCTACACATGAACAGCGACTATAATACAATTTTTTCGATCTTAAGCAGTACCTGTCCACCCAGTACCAATTTGTACCAAATTTAGTACAATTTAGTACTTTTCATAGAAATATAGTACACATTTCCGAAGCCACCAGAGACCAGATACCAACATTAAGACTTTGATATTAAATTTGGGGATTCCCTGTCAGCCAATACCAAATTTAGTACCATTTAGTACTATTCGTACAAATACAGGATACATTTCCAAAGCCACCGTTGAATCTCAAACACCGATTCCATCTGTAATTCAAATATCAAATTTTTGAATTTTATCCTCATTTTAAGCTCAATATTAAATTTAATCTCGTCACCCTACACAAAGTTTATTACCAATTAGTACTTTTAGTACAAATACAGGACACATTTCCGAATCCTCCCCCAAATGTCCAGGCACAATCTGTTCACCTAATACCAAATTGTACCAAATATAGTACTATTTAGTACTTTTCGTGGACTTATAGTACTCATTTCCGAAACCACCTCCATATAAAATTCAAATCAAATGTGTATTATGTCTGCAGAATTTTTGGTATTAAAAATGGGCCATGTAGGTCCACGCTTTCGTATAGTCCCCATATAACGGTACCTCCCGATATTCAGTAGTTCAAAAATGGTACTTATAATTCGTAATAGATACTACAGCATAAAACAGAAAACGGGCCATGTATGTCCACGTCTTCGTATAGCCCCCATATAACGGTACCTCCCGATATTCGGGACTTTGTTGATTTTAGCGACGTTATCCACCGGAATTCTTTCAAATTTGGTATTTGAAGTTCGCAATGGGAACTACAGTCTGTGACAGAAAATTGTCTATGCAGGTGCAGGTCTTCGTATAGGCCCCATATACAAGTACCTCCCTATATTCGGTATTTTAATGATTTTAGGGGAATTTTTCACCAGAATTGTTTCAAATTTGATATTTGAAATCCGTAATGGATGCAACATCCTACGACAGAAAATTGTCCGTGCAGGTCCACGTCTTCGTATAGGAACCAAATAACGGTACCCTCCCGATATAGGGTATTCTGATGATTTTAGCGACATTATTCACCGGAATTCTTTCAAATTTGGCATTTGATGTTCGTGGTAGATGCTACAGCCGATGCCAGAAAATTGTCTGTGCAGGCTTATGACAAAAGTTGCACATGCAGGTTTTTAAGATTTTAACAGAATTTTTAATGGATTTTAATTTTTTGAAAATTGAAAATTTTTACAAATTGGTGGAGGTTTCAAAGTTCGGTCCGGCGGAACTTACAGTTTTTTTACTTGTTTATTTTTTATTTTAATTTAAAAAATTTCGAAATCCCCACGAACTTTACAACTCCTTCCTTTTTTCGTATTCTTCACAGAACAAAGTTCAACAAGAAATGTCTTTAAACAAAAGTAATCTAAATCACGATTTTTTCTTCAAGGTCCCCTTGCCCCCTCCCATCTTCTCTACTAACTTTGTGTAAAACTATTTCATTTTATTACAATGTGGTCTGCAGGGCACCACTAGGACCAAAAACCAGAACCCACAGCAGCAGCATCTTCGGCATTGGCATCGGCATCGCCATCAGTATCGACCTGACCAGCCAAGACATTGACAACATCTTGGTTATGGTATTCCTGAGGTTGTCTTCCATGCCATCACGCCAGATGACTTTTAAGTCAGTCAGCCTCGAACAGCTGCATTGGAGTTTTTGTATCACGACTTTTCGATGTCTTGGCTGCTGCTTTTGGGGGTAGTTGAGGTGTTGGTTAAGATGCCTTAAAAATGTCGAATATAAACAAAACAAACCGAAATTGTAACAACATCTTTTATTGTGCCTGGGAAGAGCGAAAACAAAAACAAAACCCAACAACTCTTGGCCGCCGTCAGTCGTGCCTGAAGTTGTGAAAACCAACAGCCAAAAAGACGTTTGGAGAAACAAGAAACTTTAACAACCAGCGGAGGCCAAAATGAAAAACAACAGCGGCAGCATCATCACCAAGGCAGCAAACATTTTATTTGCCAGAAGTCCTTGCAATTGTTGTGCAGTAAAACTAAAACAACAACAAAAACAGCCCTAACTTTCTTTGCTCTCCACACACACACACACTCAAAGATTGCTTGTAAACTTCTTTTTTACTACTAATTGCATTTGCAGCACGTGTACAAAAGCCAAAAAGTAGGCAACAAAACTTTACTTAACGGCTTGCCTTGTTACTCTTCACTTCCTCTCTCCCGCTCCCTCACACACTCTTTACAACCAGCTAGACATGGTTGTCCTTCCACCAAACGGCATAACTTTGCCCAGAACTACATATTGTACCCATTATAGTTGTGGAGAATAGCTACAACAGTAATAACAACAACACCATGTCCCAGAATAAAAACTACTACAACTACAACAACAATTACATCAATGACAAAATGTGCAATTACAACTCAATAACTTTTATGCTGTTTTTTTTTCAAACATTACCCGAAAAAAACTTCAACTTGTTGTTGTTGGTTTTTTGTTGTTATTGTCGTTGTTTGCTTAAAGTTTGGTAACCAGCAAAGAGCCAGGATGAAATATAGTTAAAAGGTTAGACAACATAATGAAGTGGAATAGATGAGAAGGGTAAGGCTAAGGGGGAAAGGAAGGAAGCTGAAAATATATTCTATTGATAAAAGATGTTCTAGAGGTCCGTTGTAGATAGCAGACCTTCAAAGGTCAACCTAAAAAAGTTTACAAAATTTCTCACAAGTATGGATTTTTATTCAAAAACATGAGTTTTGAAATAATTTCGAAATTTTTTAAAACAAGTTAAAACCCATCAGTCATTTTTGCTGACAGATGTAAACCCCTAGCCAAATTTTCTAATAAGAAATTATCGATAGTGACTTAGAAAAATTATCGATAGCAAGATTAGAAAAATTATCGATAGTGAGATTTTTCCACAGGAAAAGTATTGTTGATGGGATTTTTTCCTAAAAAATTATCGAAAGTGAGATTTTCCCACAGAAAAATAATCGATAATGAGATTTTTCCCTAGAAAAATTATTGATAGTGAGATTTTTCAGTAGAAAAATTATCGAAAATGAAAATTTTCAGTAGGAAAATTGTCGATAGCCAGATTTTTCAGTAGAAAGATTATCGATAGCCAGATTTTTCTATAGAAAAATTATCGATAGTCGGATTTTTCTATAGAAAAATTATCGATAGTCGGATTTTTCTATAGAAAAATTGTCGATAGTCGGATTTTTCTATAGAAAAATTATCGATAGTCGGATTTTTCTATAGAAAAATTATCGATAGTCGGACTTTTCTATAGAAAAATTATCGATAGTAATATTTTTCTATAGAAAAATTATCGATAGTAATATTTTTCTATAGAAAAATTATCGATAGTAATATTTTTCTATAGGAAAATTATCGATAGGCTGATTTTTCTATAGAAAACTTATCGATAGTAATATTTTTCTATAGAAAAAAACTATCGATAGTAATATTTTTCTATAGAAAAAACTGTCGATAGTAATATTTTTCTATGGAAAAATTATCGATAGTACGATTTTTCTATAGAAAAATTATTGATAGTAAGAACTTTCTATAGAAAAATTATTGATAGTAATATTTTCTATAGAAATATTATCGATATTGCGATTTTTCTATAGAAAAAAATTTCGATAGTACGATTTTTCTGGAGAAAAATTATCGATAGCAATATTTTTCTATAAAAAAATTATCGATAATTGTATTTTTCTATAGAAAAATTATCGATAGTCGGATTTTTCTATAGAAAAATTATCGATAGTCGGATTTTTCTTTAGAAAAATTATCGATAGTCGGATTTTTCTATAGAAAAATTATCGATAGTCGGATTTTTCTATAGAAAAATTATCGATAGTCTGATTATTCTATAGAAAAATTATCGATAGCCGGAGTTTTCTATAGAAAAATTATCAATTTTTTTTTTTGTAAATATATTCTAACGTAGTTTCATTTCAATATTTTTCAAAACAGTTTTTTATAAACGTAGATTTTTTAAATATTTTTTAAAGGACTATTTAAGTACGCCGAGATGTAAAGAAATTAAACTATTTTCTAATTCTATAAAAATATTCTTTAACAAATCCATGTCATTCTCTTATCTCATCCGTTTCTCATCTCAACTCCCCAGAGAGCCTTCAGTCAAACGAATTTCATTTTTCTATTTCCATTATTTCTATATTCCATACAAACTTATTTTTTTCACTCCTCAAAAGTGTTACTCAAGTCAATAGCTGTTCGGAATTGTTTTCACTAAAAAAAAAAAAACAATGAGAAATAAATTGCAATTATCCATTGCATAATAAAATACATTGCAAAGAGTAAAAGTGTGTGTGAGTGTGTGTGTGTTGTTAGTGTCCGTAGTGCAATATGAGAGTTAAAGTCAAAAATTATTTGTTGGATTTCCTCCTTGGGATATGATATGAGTGCTTGTTTTTCACTATTGCCCTGGAAAATTCGTTAAGGAAACGAAACTCGAAAAAAGCAAAAATTTTAAATTGAAGTTATGATGTTGCAACAATAAAACTCATTTCATGCAATTGCTCCTGGGGGATAATAGAAAATATGTGTTATTATTATT